AACTATAACCGAATAAAAGGAGCCGGCCAAGAGGCCACCTTAACACCAAAAAAAAAAAAAAAAAAAAAAAGTAAAATTAAAACATAAGTAATTTGTTTTTAAAAATTTAAATAAAAAAAATTTGCTAACCATCTTTAAATGATAATAAAATCACAACAAGATACTTAATTTTTTTCTAATTCTCTACAGAGAGTACATGCTACCATAGGTCTGATTCAGAATAAGAAATAGTATTCAAAATAATTTGTAATATTAATACATATTTGTATATTTTGTAGGTGAAATTCTACCTTGTGAAGATATCAAGAATCAGTTTTAATGATTTTATACTATGCATTTGACATATTATTTTTATACTTTGTCTACGTATCTTTGATCCTCAAATACTTTTTATTAATTTATGTAACTAAATATACACATAATTATATATAAATAAAAATTTTACAAATATTTAAAGAAATAAAAACTAATAATCTTTTTTAACTTGTTTTTTACATTTTTAAACATGCTTTGTATTGCAAAATTCAATATATGACCAAAACAACATATGGATTATTGTGTGCTATTAAATAAAATACTAGTTTGCAAAAGAAAGTTAGAAAATTCTTCCAAAAATTTGTCATTAACAGTGTCGCAGATTAATAGAACTCTTTAGTTACTAATAACCTAGCTCAAGAGGTATGCATTTCTCCAACCATCAACAACTTCAACACTTTGCTACTTCGATTAAAGTAAGTATTTTATTATTACTTTTCAACAATTTTGTTTGCAAGTAAAAATTATTAATTAACTTTATTTCACTTTTTGCTTTTTAAAATACAAATTTGACTATTATTAACTACCTAATTATTTAATCACACTATTTTACCTTTTTATTGCTTATTACTAATTATGCTATTGTCTATTAACTCTATTATGACAGTATTTATATATCATATATTAATCTTGTATATTGTTCTTTTGAATGATCAATAACTGATTCTGATTCTGGTTAATCATCACGTAGACACATGACTACATAACAATTGATCGATTCGATCTTTTCTAACAAAAGCTAAATAATGATTCTAATTATTATTATTATTTTTTTTTGACTTTTACTAATGTAGTCACTTCTCTATTATTCTAAAGTTCCTAAATTGACCCCACACACTAAGTATACCGAATGCTGGTTCTCACTATAACATGAGTTAGATCTTCAGAACTTCGTCTCTGAAGTTTTCACTTTTGTAAAATCTCAATTATCTAATACAAACATATATACTTCTATCTTAACAACTATCTGCACATATATACAATTTTCATAAATCTAAATATACTAACAAACACCATACTTTCAAGCATAGTTCATCTCCTTATTTCGGTATTTCTGTCTATACTACTGACTGTTGCATAATTGTATTTTACTTTGGTATTTGTACCAATTGCTCATAATTTAATCTCACATCTACAATTCTGCTTGATTAGCACATAAATTCCATATGTCATATACTCTTAACAGTTCATTCAAACCTTCTTAAAGACAAGTATCAATCCTTTATCAAAAAAAATTTTTTTTTTTTTGTTATATTTTCTACAGCATAAATATTATATCATCACATCTTAAACATTAATTAGAGGAGGGCCAGAAAACATATATTTTTTTTGGGGGGGAGGGGGTCTTTTCAAAAAATATGTCTATATATAGAAAAATCTAGAAGATAAGAAATCTAAAGGGGAGGGTGATTTTGTTAAAATAAAAAACACGTGTTTTCTGGCCCTCCCCTTAGCACTTTTTTTCGATCGAATACATATTTTATTAGCAATATATTATATTCACTGCTTATTTATTTCTGATCTTTCACTTTGCCACAGCATATAGCATTCTATTTACTTTGACCAACTCATTTCTCAAGATTCTTGTTACTGTAAAGTTTCAGGGTCTTAACATTCTAGCTTTGGTGTCTTCACTTATCCTTATGAAACCTTCTACATAGTCCACAGCTTTTAATATTCTAATCAACATGTATACCTGATTCAATTGATCCATAGACATATTCCTCACTTTAATAGTCGTTTCACATTTTTCACCAAATCTAGAATTACTTATTCCATTTCTATGGCAATTTTCAGAATCGTTTGCTTCATAATTCTGTTCAGGTAAGTCTTCAGATTTCTTATCATCTCTTTCATCATTATTTACCGAACTAACTTTTACATTCTTTCTTTCAATTTCATCTATTTCTACTTCACCACTCATTTTATTGATTACCTGTTCCTCTTTATTATCTATTTCTTGTTTAGTACTATTCGCTCCTTTCTTCATCACTTCATCTTCAATATCTAAATACTTCTGTTCATCTTTTTTAACAATCATTCTATTTTGGTAATATTGTCTAACACTATACGTTCTAGTAAAATCTTCTATCTCTACAGATTTTTGATAATATTTCAATACTTGAACTCTATTATTTCTATCTTCTTCCATATCAAAACTTTCAAGTAAGTTTTCTACTTTAATTCACTCATATTCGTTTTGCTTTTTTTATCGACTGTTTCTCTGTCTACACTAACTGTTTTTTTCTCTATACTTTTTACTTTCCCTGCAGAATCATCACAACCCACGTTGTCCCAGAACCATTTAAATAAACTCATCTCACAACTTGGTGTATTGGGCTTCAGATTCTTATTAGACACTTTGTTTTCATTCTTACCAACGCTTCTTCTTTCTCTATACTATTATCTAAACACCACTATGCTAAATCTATCTCATAGGCCGTTAATATAATTATTTAGCAAAATTAATAGTAATCTGCTCAGGTTCTCATATCGTAGATTAATAGAACTCTTTAGTTACTAATAATCTAGCTCAAGAGGTATGTACTTCTCCAACCAGCAATAACTTTAATACTTTGCTGCTTCAATTAGAGTAAGTATTTTATTATTACTTTTTAATAATTTTGTTTACAAGTAAAAATTACTAATTAACTTTATTTCACTTTTTGCTTTTTAAATACAAATTTAACTATCATTAACTATCTAATTATTTAATCATGCCATTTTACCTTTTTTATTGCTTATTACTAATTATGCTATTGTCTATCAACTCTATTATGACATTATTCATGCACCATATATTAATCTTGTGTATTGTTCTCTTGAATGATTGACAACTGATTTTGATTCTGATCGATCGTTATATGGGCATGTGATTACATGATGATTGATTGATTCGATCTTTTTCAACAAAAGCTAAATAATGATTCTAATTATTATTATTTTTTTTTTAACTTTTACTAATGTGGTTACTTCTCTATTATTCTAAGTTTCCAAATCGGCTTCACACATTAAGTACACTGAATACTGGTTTTCACCATGATAGCAAAAGTAATATCATGTGTAATTGATATTATTTTTGAAACAATCCCTATTGATCAAAGATATTCTTCTATAGCTTTGGCAATTTCAACACCTGTATGCTGACTGTCTATATAAATAAAGTCAAGTAATAGATTTTTTATTGACCACAATCTGCTTAGATAATGAATAGTAATTGATATAAATAACTTATCATTAGTATTTGTTATCCAGATATCTATTATTAATGATATACGACCAGATAAATCATTTAATTTTTTTTGAAATGATTATGTTCCTCTTTGAAATTATTTACAAGATATTTGGTTATTAAGTTTGATGAAAGTACTACAAAAGAAATTTCAAATATTTTTTAATAAAATTATATCTAATAAAAATCTAATTAATAAAAATGCAAAAATATCTATTTGGTATAAAAAAATATAATTAAATATTATATCTTCTGCATGGAGTCTAAATAAATAAATATTGATCTAAGACCATTATCTTCAATTATATGAAATGGCTAATTATGTTTAATTATCTATTTTTTAATAAGCTTAGTGAATGTTTTAAGATCAAAAAGTTCATGATTATGATTTATGTTCTAATAATTATATATTATAAGAAAGAAGTATATAAGAAAGTAATATCAAAAAATACACAATATAATTTAAAAAAAAACCTATTATTATTATTTAACATATCTAAAACAGAGATACCCTTCACTTTATTTGACTTTGACTTTAACTCTAGTACTTTATTTCTGTGTTTATTAGCCAAGTGTTTTCTAAAACTTGACATTAATTTATCTTCTAGGATTTTTGGTTTTTTTATTGCAAAATATCATATTATGACTACTCTATCTTTATTTTGTTTCATAAAATAGTTTCATACAAATGATCTGTAAATAAATATATTAGTATATGATGAAATATTATATTATAATTATTAAATCTTATATTGCTTTGCATATTTATCTTCTATAAACAATGATTCATTATTATTAAATTCATCTGAGCAAGCCATATTTGTTGACTCCTAAATTTCATTATATAATAACTCGTTTACTAGTTTTTGGACCTCATAACAAGACAATCTATCTATCAGTTCTTGGGCTTCATAAGAAATTTCAAATGGGCTTGACATTGTTGTGATAAAGAGGTTCTGCCAATATTTTTCTTTTTTTAAAAAGACTACCACCTTAAGATTAAAAAATAAAATAGTTTTTTGCAAAATATTTCTGTACTGTTTTATATAAAAAGACTCTGTTAATGCTTTTCACCTTTAGAAACAATATACTATTTTTTTTTTTTTTTTTTTAGTATAATAAAAACTCAAGATAATAACAAAAAATATTTTCCCTTAAACTGTAGGCTTTTTTATTTGTCTAAAAAATTATCATTAAAATAGTTATGATCTA